GTACCGGAGTGCCAAGTCTAGGTCCAAAAGACTTCTCAACAGCTTCTACCCCCCAAGCCATAAGACTCCTGAACAGCTAATCATGGCTACCCGGACTATTTGCACTGCCCCCCCCACCCCATCCTTTTTACGCTGCTGCTACTCTGTTAAGTATTTATGCATAGTCACTTTAACTCTACCCACATGTACATATTACCTCAACTACCTCAACTAGCCGGTGCCCCCGCACATTACAGAAATGGTTGGTCGAGATCGGTGTGGAAGAACTTGACTGGCCTGCACAAGTGCTAGTGTTAGTTCACATTTTATTTATTTATTTTGTGGGGGGTGGGTTATTTAAAATACTATTTGAAGAAGTAGGGTTTCAGATGTTTTCGGAAGATGGTCAGGGACTCTGCTGTCCTAGCTTCAGGGGGAAGCTGGTTCCACCATTGAGACAGAGAAGAGCTTGGACTGGGCACACACACACACCCACACACACACACCCACACACGCACGTTAGATGGAAGGTTTTGTAAAAGTAATTGACATATGTTTGTATGTGTATTGTATGTAATTCTGACTGGTTTGAAATCCATTTCTGTTATGAGTTTGTGAGGTGAAACCAATGCTCTCTGTATCGTCCTCTTCCAGGTGCCAGGCATGTGGGTGTAACTCCATAGGAGGGGTGAATGGGTCATGCCACCCAGAGACAGGGAGATGCCAGTGTAAGGCCTTGGTGACGGGGGACAGGTGTGACCGCTGTATCTCTGGAGCCAGTCACCTGGACCCAGACAACCACCTGGGCTGCAGTAAAGGTACTGGATGACTTGCCACAGAGGCACAGTCATTGATTAATCTATAGTTGTTGTTTTTTATAATGGAAGGTTTAAGACAATGCTTTTATGTCTTATAGGTTAGAAATAATGTTAGATTTATTGTGTGTATGTATGTGCGTGTGTTTTGTGTGTATTTGTGTGTACTCTATCTCCATCTCTATGTCTATTGGTTGTGTGTATGCATATAGTGTGTGTGTTAGTGGGGGGTAATTCCCTCCTCCTGTGCTTTCCCTGCCTGGGACTGTTTTGAGTTAGACACACAAGGACACTAACTCTACATGGATCACACACACACACACACACACACACACACACACACAAACACACAGTATTAAACTCAGAGGGACACTGGCTCTCCTCAGTATGTTAAGACGCTCGCCATGAATGAAATGGAAAATACCCCTCGCAGGCCTGTTATTTGGCCTGTAGTGTTTATTGTGTTGCATAAGACCAGCACAGCGGTTAATAATGTTATTGTATCTTCCTCCTCTTTCTCTTGTCCCCTTTCCCATTTCCCACATCCCTCTTTTTCTCTCTCTCTTCCTCTCTCCCCTACCCCGCCTCTCTTCCTCTCTTCCCATACCCCGCCTCTCGCTTCGCTTCTCTTCCTCTCTCCCCTACCCCGCCTCTCTTCCTCTCTCCCCTACCCCGCCTCTCTCTTCCTCTCTCCCCTACCCCGCCTCTCTCTTCCTCTCTCCCCTACCCCGCCTCTCTTCCTCTCCCCCCAGCTCCTATCCAGCAGCCCAGTCCAGTAGGGTCTGTCCTGACCTCTACCTCCATCAGCCTGACCTGGAGGCCCCCTGACTCGCCCAACACACACACTCTCAACTACACACTGCTCCGGGACGGCCTGGAGATACACACTACACAGAGACACTACCCATTCAGTAAGTACACACACACATGCACATTCACATGCAGGCACGTACGCAAACACACACACACACACACACAGACATTTTAAGTACTTTATTTGAATCCCACCAATCAAATGTACAAAAAAAGGATCCAAACATTTCAAAGGTCCCTGTATACATGGCACTCAAGGGTACAGAAAGCACCTCCTTCTCCAAATAGCTAGGCTGCCCACGACAGCTGAAACAGAGCAGTACCTAGCCAATTGCTTTGCCCTACTTTTTGTCAGGCCCGCAATCTGGAGGCAATGCACTGCAAGCCTGTGTACGTGGCCGAGACTGCCAAATATCAGCGCCACCAGCTTGCACCTCCACCCGAGGCTGTCCAAGCGTGCCACTAGGGGCTGGTACTTAAGCATGTAGCCGTCAAATGAGCAGCCCACTCCCAAAATGAGCACCTCCCCCTGGTCTCGACCACAACAACAATATCTGCCGTATTTGGCACACAGGAAAACACATCATCAACATCAAACCAGCTTCCCCTTACACAATAATGTTTATGCATGTGTGCTGTTGGTGAGACCACTTGTTTCACCTCGCTGGGTATCAGGTCAACAAGGCGGTCATGTCTAGCAATGTACGAATCCTTGTATGAATAGCAGCGATTCACAATATGGGCTATGGACTCCATTACATTTGACTCATGTAGAATGGGTCATGGTTTGCAGGGTACCAGAGTGCTAGATTATATTTTGTTGGTAGAACTTGCAGCCTCGCCTTAACAGTAAAGATGAGAATGTCCTCGCCAATGGCAGCATTCTGGTACATGAAATGGGAGACAGAGTGGACAGCACAGTCCAGAGCAGTGAGCCTCCCCTGCAGCCTCAGGCCAGTCCAGTGTTGCAGTAGTTGCATCTGTCTGATGCAACAATTTTCCATTGGCCTTCCTCTTGAAGCCCGGGAAGTTATCCTCAGTGTCCCTGGCCAGTGGAACCTTCCGCCTCCGTAGGTCCAGAAGGAGGGATGCTCTGGCTAACTCCTTAACTGTCCCATCGTCACTGTTGAACATGTTCAACAGGTGAGTCAGTCTGGTAGCAGTGTAAATCCCCTCAATATTCGGGACAACTAAACCCCCCTCTCTTTGGCTCAGGAAGACAACATCACGTGTGGTGTGTGTGTTTAAGCATAGCCACTTTCTCACAACTTGAACAGTTTTGTTATTCATTTACCTCAGAACCTTCTGTGGGAGATGGACATTTGCAAGCATGTTGAATCTTTGCTAGGGCCACCTCTCACACAGCTTCTAGCTTCATGACCACAGGCAGAGGGGAAATGTCAATCATATCAAGTCTGGTTGAATACTCATGGACGAGCTCCTCAACTTGTTCCCCCCACTCGCCAGCAACGTTAAACTTATGTCCAAGATAACTACAGTGAGGGAAAAAAGTATTTGATCCCCTGCTGATTTTGTACGTTTGCCCACTGACAAAGACATGATCAGTCTATAATTTTAATGGTAGGTTTATTTGAACAGTGAGAGACAGAATAACAACCAAAAAATCCAGAAAAACGCATGTCAAAAATGTTATAAATTGATTTGCATTTTAATGAGGGAAATAAGTATTTGACCCCTCTGCAAAACATGACTTAGTACTTGGTGGCAAAACCCTTGTTGGCAATCACAGAGGTCAGACGTTTCTTGTAGTTGGCCACCAGGTTTGCACACATCTCAGGAGGGATTTTGTCCCACTCCTCTTTGCAGATCTTCTCCAAGTCATGAAGGTTTCGAGGCTGACGTTTGGCAACTCAAACCTTCAGCTCCCTCCACCGATTTTCTATGGGATTAAGGTCTGGAGACTGGCTAGGCCACTCCAGGACCTTAATGTGCTTCTTCTTGAGCCACTCCTTTGTTGCCTTGGCCGTGTGTTTTGGGTCATTGTCATGCTGGAATACCCATCCACGACCCATTTTCAATGCCCTGGCTGAGGGAAGGAGGTTCTCACCCAAGATTTGACGGTACATGGCCCCGACCATCGTCCCTTTGATGCGGTGAAGTTGTCCTGTCCCCTTAGCAGAAAAACACCCCCAAAGCATAATGTTTCCACCTCCATGTTTGACGGTGGGGATGGTGTTCTTGGGGTCATAGGCAGCATTCCTCCTCCTCCAAACATGGCGAGTTGAGTTGATGCCAAAGAGCTCGATTTTGGTCTCATCTGACCACAACACTTTCACCCAGTTCTCCTCTGAATCATTCAGATGTTCATTGGCAAACTTCAGACGGGCCTGTATATGTGCTTTCTTGAGCAGGGGGACCTTGCAGGCACTGCAGGATTTCAGTCCTTCACGGCCTAGTGTGTTACCAATTGTTTTCTTGGTGACTATGGTCCCAGCAGCCTTGAGATCATTGACAAGATCCTCCTGTGTAGTTCTGGGCTGATTCCTCACCGTTCTCATTGCAACTCCACGAGGTGAGATCTTGCATGGATCCCCAGGCAGAGGGAGATTGACAGTTCTTTTGTGTTTCTTCCATTTGCGAATAATCGCACCAACTGTTGTCACCTTCTCACCAAGCTGCTTGGCGATGGTCTTGTAGCCCATTCCAGCCTTGTGTAGGTCTACAATCTTGTCCCTGACATCCTTGGAGAGCTCTTTGGTCTTGGCCATGGTGGAGAGTTTGGAATCTGATTGATTGATTGCTTCTGTGGACAGGTGTCTTTTATACAGGTAACAAACTGAGATTAGGAGCACTCCCTTTAAGAGTGTGCTCCTAATCTCAGCTCGTTACATGTATAAAAGACACCTGGGAGCCAGAAATCTTTCTGATTGAGAGGGGGTCAAATACTTATTTCCCTCATTAAAATGCAAATCAATTTATAACATTTTTGACATGTGTTTTTCTGGATTTTTTTGTTGTTATTCTGTCTCTCACTGTTCAATTAAACGTACTATTAACATTATAGACTGATCATGTCTTTGTCAGTGGGCAAACATACAAAATCAGCAGGGGATCAAATACTTTTTTCCTTCACTGTATATGTTTCGTCACGAGAGTAGACTCTGATTGGTTTATTCATTAGTGTAAATGCTGGGGGCTTATCAGTTTTAGACTCGTACCAGAGGTTACCTCCGCTGCGTCTTTCATAGAACACTGCATATTTAGTGTCTTTCACTTCCAGCCCAGACCATTTCAAAAAGTCATCTGTGCGAGAAATCATTTCTTTGATAACATGATCCTCTCTGGAGGTGATCTGAAAGTCATCAGCATACCCTTGTACTGTTTTCCGTGACACACACACACACACACAGTTAAATCTCTTCTCTCTCCTAGGCCCTGTAACTTATGTGGACAGTGGTTTGTCTCCGTTCATGGATTATTCTTACCGGCTAGTAACGGCTAACGTTAACGGTCAGACGGTGAGTGTTCCGGTCAGTTACCAGACCCTGGCCGCCATACCGGACCCTGACCATATCCTTCTGACCCTGGTGGGCCGACCAGGACCGACCATAGCCAACCTCAACTGGACCCGACCACAGAACACATCAGGTCCACAAGAGAGGTATGGACCAGTGGAGGCTGCTGAGGGGAGGACGGCTAATAATAATGGCCGGAACAGAGCGAATGGAATGGCATCAAACACCAGGAAACCATGTGTTTGATGTATTTGATACCATTCCACCAATTCCACTCCGTCATTACCACGAGCCCGTTCTCCCCAATTAAGGTGCCTAGGAGTAACATTGGCTGGTCAGTTATCATGGTCAAGTCATATTGACTAATAAACTAAACTGAACCCTCTCTCTGTGTGTTCCTGTAGGTTTGTGCTAACCTCAGTGGAGGCTGGTACTGGTAGGGAGCGTGTCCACTATACAGGTCTAGAGACCCAGGCTGCAGCCACTGGCCTCTCCCCCTACACCTACTACAACCTCACCCTGCAGGCCTGCTCTACTGGGGGGTGCACCTCCACCCCTCCCCTGCCCCTCCTCACTTCACCCAGCCCTCCACAGGGACAGCCCCCACCCAGGGTCAACGCCACCGGACCGCACCAAATACACGCAGCCTGGGACCCCCCTGTTCGTCCCAATGGTACGACCCGAATTGTCTCTTGATCTGTGTTCACAGACAACAGGGATAAAATGGAAGAAAATGTAGAAAAGAGAACACATGTTCTACTCACCTTAACACTGTGTCCCTACAGTGTGCCACTAGATCCAGAGCATTGTATAGTCACTTTCTGTACCATATTAAGCCTGTTTAACCTCCACCACACTCTAATGCTTTCTCAGTCATGGTTTAATTTACTGCATTACATTATATCGCTCCCCGAGGCACATTAAAACACATGTACTTCTGCCAGACATTACAGTTCATGTCATTTCTCATATTCTGTTTTGAGTCGTTATTCAACCATGCCTATAACTATAACCGCCATGTTCGACTGGCTGTATTGAAACAAGACATGGGGGAACAGACTCTTTGAAGTGGTAGTGTGATAGTGAACATTGAAGAAGAGAGAGAATAGAGGGAGAATAGAAGTGTTTGTTTCTATTGTGTTGTGATGCCTGCCTGTCCTCGGCTCAACCTTCTGTATTCATTCACTGCCTTGGTAACACTAATGAGCAATGTGGATATGATGATGAGCTTTGATTCTCATGTGGATGAAGAGTCTCTCTGCTATAGAGTATTAGAATGGGATATGAGAATGCACTGTGCCGGCATTCATTCACACTGTTTTAGTATTGGCTGAAGACCTGTGGTTGATTAGTAGCTTGTATGGTACTGTAGTGATGCATACAGTATTGAATCTCCTTGTGTCCTACTAGTGCTGAGCGATTAACCAAAATAGTGGTTCTTTTTCAGTTGTTAACCCATAAGAGCCTATGCCCTGTCTAAGGGGGGGGGTACTACTAAGCTATATGGAATTGTTTTAAGGTCATACCAAGGATAATTTTGCTATTTGATTTGGAATTTTCAGACAAGTCTTGTGACGCATGTGGGCGTCCTAGAGCAAAACAACCGACATGTACATGTTCGTGAGAGTCTCACCTTTACAGTAGTTTGTAGGCCAAACCGTTCGGACGCTACAGACAATTTTGTGAGAAGACAGATTTTCGGGATGTCTCATGGTCTGACAAACACAGCTCTAGCTCTGTCATCTTTAACCGCAGATGCAAAAGTGTTACGTAGGCGGATGCGGTGGATTGAGATACAGATATGTGTTATGCTAATTAGATTTCCGTGGGGGGGGGGGGGGGGGGGTGGACATTGACCTTAGGGTGTTAATCAACATTTACCTACATTGGTTCAATTATTTGAATTCCATTTTGTTAATTTCTGTTTCTGTGTTTATGCACATTGCGCAGTTTATCTAGAGCTAAATCAGATCAAGCCCGAACTGTGCGATGTAGTAGGGAGTTGTAGTTTCCAACAGGCCAATATTCTACATAGTTTAGCGCAGAAAACGTGGTAATTAACTACAATGACCATAATCCATTACAAGCCTACTTGTCCGGTCTGTGTTTCTTTTATGCCTGCTACGTTGGGTTAGTGTGGGGAGAGAGAGAGAGAGAAGAGACAGAAGAATGCGCCATCAAGAGGAATAGAAAGCAGTTGCTTCGAGAGGGATCTCTACCTGAAAATACAATCTAAGTGATTGATAGTTGGTATTCAGCAGGCATAAAAGTATGCCTTATTTACTTTGAAGAACTACTAAAATAGTGATTTTGGCAGCAGCTCTATAGAGATGAGATGATGACTTGGAATGAAATAATAGTCATCAAATAAAACAAATGTAATATACGCAACAACTGAAATATTTTATTAAAGTAAGGTAATGAGAATCAATTATGGTTAATAAGTGATAATCAGTGATGGGCAGTCACTACCACTATGGGACTTTTATAAATTGTTTTATTCTGTGTTGTTACGGTATTCATCACACATAATGTATAGTGCATTTAATGTCAAAAATTATAATCGAAACCGGAATAGAAAACAGTGATTATTTACATTAAAGAATATATATATCCACTGTGTCCTACATAGTGGTTCTCTAACTTGTTTTAAACTTTGATCAATATAATGTACTTTATAATTTCCTTGTGACCCACCTGGTATAAGAATATACAATATGTATGTAAGGAACAAGGCCTAATAGGAACTAGTCACAAGCTAACCCATCAATAACTGAATAATATGGCATTGAAAGTAATAGCAATGTCTCTTTTGTTTCTGCCTTCATAGGTGTTATTATAAGGTACGAGCTCTTCATACGAGGGCCAATGGAATCGCAGAACAACACAAGCCCCGCCCCAGAGCGTAGGGTGTTTGTGAGCAGTGGTTGGCTGGACCCCCGCCTCCCGTCTGGCTCAGCCAATGAGAGCGCTCTGCCCCCTCCCCAGAGCGGTGCCATGGTAACAGACCTGCAGGCCTTCTCCACCTATCAGCTGCGAGTTCTGACTGTCAACATGGCCGGCAGTGTGATATCAGACTGGACTACAGCTCGGACACAGGAGGGGGGTCAGTTACACACACACACACACACACACACACACAAACACAAACCGTGACGGAAAAAAGTAGAGAGAGAGTGAGGAGAGCACTAACAGAGAGAGAGAGAGTTCCTCTGGGGAGGCCTCTGGGTGTGTAGTTATAGTAGTTTTGTGACATAATAGTTGGTGGAAGAGGGGAGAGAGGGAGAAAAAGAGAGAGGAGAGGGGGGGGGGGGGTTCTCATTAAAGCATTATAATTCCAAAGAGATGATATGGCTCATTAGAACTAGACTGTGCCCCCAAACAAAACTCACAGCCCTCTGTCTGACTGTGTAATAGCCATGAATCACATTACACACCCTGAGTATGTGTGTGTTTGTGTGTGTGTGTGTGTGTGTGTGTGTGTGTGTGTGTGAGAGAGTGTTTGTGTGTGTGTGTGTGTGTGTGTGTGTGTGTGTGTGTGTGAGAGTGTGAGAGTGTTTGTGCACTCCTGCGTGCATGCGTGAATCGCATTACACACCTAACAGTAGGTGGCTTCAGAGATAAAGGAGAGAATGGAGAGATAGGAGAGAGGAAGGAGAGATAAGAGGAGAGGTGGGGAGATGATGTGTGAGATAATAGGTGTTTCTAAATGTGTGAGGGTGGTCTGTACTCTACTGTGCTTCATTCAGAGGGCTGTGTGAGTGTTTATGATAAAGGAAGAGCTTTAGAAGTAACTTATCTGTATTTGTGTGTGTGTGTGTGTGCCCGTGTTTATGTGTGTGTATGTGTGTGTTCCATAGCTCCAGAGTTCGTGGCTCCTCCTGAGGTGTCGGCGGTGTCGTCCTCGTCCCTAAAGGTCGCGTGGAGGTCAGCGCGGGGTCAGGAGGCTAGAGGACAGGTCACTGAATACAGGGTCAACCTGGTCACAGAGCAGAGCACCAACCCATACGCACCACCTGTTATCACACAGGTAACATACACACACACACACATTACACAATAAATAGGTACACATGCTTCTCCCTCATTCCTAGATTTCCTGAAAATGTCTTGTCCCTAAATCATCTTAGAAAAATAGATAGACCTTCTAAACACCACTACACCTACATTCCAGTAGAAAAACACATGCAATATCATTGCACAGATAGGAGTGTTCTCATCGGCTCAAACATAGATGTCCCTCCTCAGGTATAGCGACTCTAAAGGTTATGATGTCACACCACCTACAGGGCTAATCCCATCATGCATTGCCCCGTGTCAGCGTATCACCTCTGACTTCCTCCGGCTGGAGGTTTAACGAGCGTTGCTGCTCCTCAACAGTACCTTTATCTAGCTCTTCATTAGGGTGATAGTAGTGTGTTTAGGTACAGGGTGGTTTTTAGGAGGATTGGTATCACTGATATGATGTTTTAATATAGATATGTCTAGTCAGCTTTCCCCCTAGGTAGGACATATCGCCCTGTTCTCGCAGTCTGTGTGTGTGGTGTGTGCTAGAAGATTGTGTTAGCCTGCAGAGCTAAAGCCTAGGCATTAGCTAGGGGAGCGAACAGGTCTCAAGCAAGGTAACACATCACATGTAAATGCCATTTAGCAGACAATTCTTCCCGAAGCAACTTACAGTAGTGAGTGCATACATTTCCGTATGTGTGGGTCCAGCAGGAATCTAACCCACAACCCTGGCGTTGCAAGCACCATGCTCTACCACTTGAGCCATACAGGACCACAAGTGTGTCTAGGGGGCCTACCACTGCTATAACGTGACACTGATCCTCTGTGTGTGTGTGTGTGTTTCTTGTCCCAGGTGCTGTATGTAGCCAGTCCATCAGAGCGTGTGTATGTAGCAGAGGGACTAGAGGCCTACAGGAGATACAACTTCACTGTGACTCTGTGTACCACACTGGGCTGTGTGACCAGCCTGCCTGCCTCCGGACGAACACTACCTACAGGTAACACTCACAAGCTGAGCACTAACAACTGGTAACTAGAGATAAATATCATATCATTATTTATTTATTTATTTATACCACACTACTCGGAAATACTCCAGTATACTCCATTAATACTGTTATACTTCTGGTTAAACCAGACCACATGTATTGTCCCAGTTATGGAGGACATTTACATATGAAGAGACTATAATGGAATGTGTCTGTCAGGGAACTAACTACCTCTGGATGAGAGAGGGGGATGGAAAGAAAACAGAGAAGGGAGAGGAAAAGGAAAAATAAAGAAATAGAGAGAGAGTGAAGAAGCGAAGAAGAGAGTAAGGGAGAGGGAAGCGAAAAACAAATGGAGAGAGAATGTTCTCATATTTTCTTCCCTCCTTTTCTTCTCATATTTTCTCTCTCTCTCCACCCTGAAATCGCTTAACGACTCTAACCCATCCCTCTTATGTCAGGACCACGCACGCACTCACTCACTCACTCACTCACTCACTCACTCAGTATTTCAGTAGCGACAGTGGTGTAACCAGGGGGGAAATTCATTGTACACGGCAGTAAAAACTATTTACTGTTAATTACAAGGAGAAAAATGTGCCGTAGCGCACGTTCCCTGTTGGTCATGAATCATACACACACACTCTGTCACACACACGTGTGTGCTGGTCACTC